AAATCCTAGATCTTACTGGGGATTGAACCTGGAACCTCTGGCACTCAAGGTGGACACCACGCACAGGCCATAGAAGACTATAAAAGGATATTAGCCAGTGTGGCCAAAAAAATGGTACAGAGATAGAGACGGAGCACTTATGTCAATGTTCTGAGTGCTATGAAGTTGATTTTCAGTTCAACATTCAACATCTGATACACATGTTCCTCTGAAGGTTCTATTGGATCAAATGATCACTGCTCCAAACAAAGTTTCCACATTTAGTCAAAATGTTTCAGTGAAAAGTGTGACGCCTTGAGACCACGCAGCCCCCATCAGTCATAGTTTACTGGTGATGAACACTCAAAATGAAAAGCAGTATGGTCTGTAACAACCCTCTAACAATTGGATACAAATAAATGAAGAATCCACATTACTGCACTTTAAATAGTCCCACATGTGCTCCAATCCCCTTTTCAGTTAGCCAACAAAGAATTACTATATTGTTGAATTACTATAGTGTGTTTTCTCATGTGATTTCTATCCAAATCCTCTTCACACTTCAAACAAAAGGGTTCTTTCCTCTTGTTTCTGGCTTAGTGTTGTGATCATGCTTCATAATTGTGAAGTACCTGGTTCGATTCAGGTGTGGAGGATTATGGAGCCGAGGGATGTGTACGTTGATTTTGATAATGGTACGGGGTCGCTGACCGTTAAAGAAAGCAGTGGCAAACTCACATCTGTTCATGTGTCGCAGGTACTTTGTGGAACATTGCTGTCATCACGTTCTACCTGAAGGCATGCACTTTCCTGCCTAAAGTGAGACCTATACCCAGTGCCCATCTTCGTGCTGATCAGCCCCTGCCCCTCTTTCCTGGTACCATGCTCTTTGCTGTTATTGTTTCCAGTTTGCTGTGGCACTTCATGAGGCCAAAATATTTCAGTTTCCCAAACAGGATGCTGTTTATCAGCCAATCTTCCTTGATCCTCAGATCTGTTAGGGTGTCAGTTTGTCTTTTCTAGTAAATTGTCTAGTGAAACCACTAAATGGCTAAAAAATGCTAGGGTCATCATCACCATTATCATTATCATCATCCACTTCACAATTCTGCCCTTAAGCGTCATGAGGAGGACAAGTTTGTGATCCATTGCTTGATGGGCAGCGATGGTTGTTGTCATTCCGTGTCGATGTAAAAGCTCTTTAATGTCATCAGTCCATCTTCTCCTAGGGCAACCTCTTGCTTTACCATCAGATCTTTTCATGTGTAGCTCCTGCGTTGCTAGTTGTTCTGGCTGTATTCTTATGAAGCCATTTGATCTTCTGTTTCTCAGTGAATTTGCTGCATGGTGTTGTTTTTACAGTTTGTGACTTTTAATTCACCACCCCCTCCCCAACAGATTGTCCCGCTGAGTGGCATAGGCCCCACATTGGGAAACAGAGCTGTAAGTGATACACAACTAACTTTTTAAAACATCTGTTGCTTCATGGCAGGGCAGGGCTGGGTTTTTACCCCCAGATCTGGGTTTTTATTTGACACCTTGGGTTCAAATTTTGAAATCTGGTTTAAAAAAAATATATATCCTCATATATAAGTGGGCAAATGTTTTTTTCATATGTCGTTGCTATCACACCTTCATGGGAAAGTCTTTGAATAAGGTCATTTCTTTAAACAGATTTTTTACAATATGTAGCAGTGCCTTCCTTTACTATACCTGTTAATATTGCCTTCTTTTTTCCAGCTTCGGCAACGAAATACAGTAGGTATTGCCTGCTTTTGAAAGTTCGCCATCTTTAAACACTAATAAATGACTCATGCCTTACCTGTGTCCATTGCATGTGCTCATAATTCACCTGCGTAATGACAGAGGCACAAGTTTTACTAGTGTCAGTACTATTGACTCTTCACCTTTGTCTCTGTCAGTACATGATCTCACCTCATTTTATGGCATTAACATTTATCTCACCTGTGTCAGTGATTTACTAAATATCTCACCTTTGTCAGTGACATTTTGTCAGTGACATTAACTAATCTCATATTATTGACATTTGGTTCTCTTCTCACCTGTCAATAATGTTAATGTCTCACCTGTTGTATACACAATAGAGCTATGCAGTGATCCTGGGATGTTCTAGAGACACCCTGATTGTGTGCATGTGATACATCTTGGCATTGCCGACTATTGCAGTTAGGCTAAAGGTGCTGCAGGCTAAGTCCTACCTCAGAGGAGCTGCAGACAAAGAGCACCCGCAGACAAAGAGCACCCTCTGTATGAAGCTTTGGTAAGGGTCAGAGGCTGAAAATAGGAAAATCATGAATGACTCAAGCAGAAGACACAATAAGACAAGTATGCATGCTAGAGAACATTGGGCCAGGAGAGGAGTATGTCAGAGTACCAGAGGACAAGTCTTACCTGTGTAGGATCATGATCACATCGGGTCGGGTGTGCAGAGAGTGGCCAGCGAGGGCTTTGGAGATGGAAGTCCAACAGTTTATTTATGACAGTTCTCGCTTAGATGATCTGATTATCTTTACAGATGGTTCTGTGTTGAGAGGGAAGTGAAGGGCCTGAGGGTTCGTAGCGAAATCCAGTGGAAAATCTTGAGTGCAGGACAGCCTAGCATACGACACCACGTCTAGAATGAGAATGGAGGTGGAGATGGTAACTGCAGCTTTCTGGTGGCTAGATAATAAGATGCATACACAGGTCGTAATTGTAACAGTTTGAAAGCATGCTGAAAAAGGTGAAGACAGGGATGCTTCGAGCAGAGTGGTAAGCTTCACTAGGAAAATCTCGGGTAGTGGGCATACTTTGGATCCTTTCTCCAGGCTGTGCTGATATGGTGGGGAATGAACAGGCAGACAGATTGGCTAGATCTACACCACTGGGTGGTGAATTGATGCATGACAAGGCAGATGTGGTCAAGTCCTTTTGGGAACAATGAAGTGAGATATATTATCAGACAGTCATCGGATTTGAAACTCTTGGCTTGCCGCTGAAGATGGGGATGGGGCGCTTATGGCAGTGTCCCGAGTGCTGTGATGTCGATTCTTAATTCAGCATTCAACAATTCAGTCACCCTGTAGAATGTATTGACAACATCTAAAAGTCCAGCTTCAAGAGACTGTCAGAGCTGTACACACCATGACATTCCGGGGTGAAAGAAAATGGAAACGCTGACAAACTGGCCGTGTCTTCAGTAGTCAATAGAGGACGTATTGACAGGGCTGATACACTGAATATGCTGCGTTCCAAAGAGGTTGAGACAAATGAGTCAGAGATGATGAACTGCCTTTTGGGAATGGGTATTTTAAAATCAGCAGTGTAGAAACCGCTTGTAGGGTTAAGAAATATTTGCTAATCATCTCCTCCTGGGTACAGTGTGCATGGAGGCACTGAGATGACTTCTGCGTCAGAGAATGGAGCACAGGTAATTTGGACCAGTTGTAAATAAGTAAAGTAAAGGACCCTTTTCTATGCCTTTATGCATACAGAGCATGTAAGGCTAGACCTATATTTTATTGACCAATCTTGGACCAGTTGGCCAGAATGATATGGTCAACAAGTAACAGGTAAAAGAATGCTGTGTACCATTAGTTTTTGGGTGTCATTTCTGAAGCATGCATGGCTTGTCTACCAAGTGTGATGGTTTTTGGGTTTTTGGGGGTGCTTTTCTCATTATAGTTCCTATTAGCAGTTTGTACTGACAGTCTAACAGTTGAATATATTAACTCCTGTAACTTCAGCACACCGGCTGTAATTTCCAAATAGTAGTTCCAAATTTATGATAGAATAACTAATGTAGAGCGTTTTGAGAGAACAAAGCAAGCTCCAGTGGACCAAGAGGTGAGGAAAAGATGCTGGTGTTGGATAGGACACACATTGAGAAAACAGGAGAACAGCATAACTAGAATGTCTTTGCATTGGAACCAACAGGGGCATATGAATAAAGGAAGGCCAAAAAAAAAAAACGTGGAAAAGAGAGCTGGAGAATGAAGTTAGAAAGATGGGGAGAAGGACATGTAATGGCGTGAGTTGGCTGACCGCCTACGCTTCGTTGGAGGATAGAAAAGCAGAAGTTTCAAATGTAATGGTTATATCAAAGAAAAAGATAACACCACGTTCTGATATCTCAGTTGAGGGGAAAAAGCCTTACCAGGTCAATAAATTCAAATATCTGGGAAACATCATGGAAAATGTGTGACAGAGATTAAAAGCAGAATAGTTCAAGCAAAGGCAGCATTTCAGAAAATGAAAAATTTTTTATTGCAATAAGTCGCTCTCATTTAATGTCAGAAAGAGGCTGCTAAAATGTTACATAGAACCTGTTCTGCTGTATGGCAGCGAATCTTGGAATGTCAGTGAAGAAATTAAGAATTTGGAAGCAACACAGATATGGTTGCTGAGACGAATGTTATGAATACCTTGGACGGCTAGAATAATTAATAACGATTGTTTGAAAGAAGCTGATTAAAGTAGATCTCTATATACAGCAATAGGAAAGAGACAAACACTGTTCATTGGGCATGTAATGAGAAAAGAGGAATTGGAAAACATTGTGACAACTGGAAAGATCAGTGGGAAAGATGGGTAGAGGCAGACCAAGAGAGATGGTGCTGAATGGGCTGAAACAATGGCATGGAAGGATATCATCAAGAGAGCTTTTCCAGGCAACCAGGGATGGTGATATGTGGAGATGCATGAACTGTTAAGGCACATAATGATAATGTGAAATGTAAATTCAGCATGATAGTTATTACCGTCAAGACACCTTAAATATTATGGCCACATTAAAAGACATAACACTGTTTTAAAAAGTATACCAGAGGGAAAGGTTTAGGACCAGAGGTAGACAGTGATATGAGTGGGAGGACAGCATCAAACAACAATTTGAGAGAGTGTACTACTAAGGCAAGAGACAGAGTGTGTTTGAGATATATTACAGTGACCCTTTATTGTGGAAACGGCACCTGATTGATTGATTGATTTTAACAACAAAATCTTTAGCAGGAAAGTTCTAGCTTTAAAATGGCGTGTAAATTTGGTGTAAAACGTAAGAATTCTACATTTACAGAGGTGGTTATAACTTTGACACAGAAGGTAATTTTCAAATGACGATTGTAATTTCACCACAGCAGCTGTAATTTCTAAATAACTGCTGTAACTTCATCTTCAGCAGGATAATTATAGTCATAAAATAGCATATAACTGCACAAGTATTTAAGTGCAAAAGATGTGAGAATTCTACATATTTTTATCGCAGTTGTAACTTCATTGAAATGGTTACTTTTCAAATGACGGTTATAATTTCAGCACAGCAACTGTAGTTGCTGTAGTTTCTAAAGTAAAGTTGTCTCTTGAATAAAATAAATTCCTTGTGTGGGTTCCAGGACCCCACTCTGGGGGCTAAAGAATAGACCCACTGTCCTTAATTAGGGCATGTTATAAACTAATTAAGGATATTTTCTTCAAAGTCGGAGTGCATCTGTCTGAGAAGCAAGGAACCAACAGTCTGCGTACACATACACCAGATCTGTAAAACTCAAGTTATGGAACAAGACCAAAGTCCAGAAGTGGACAAACAACCAGAACCTTCTGCTAGAGTTTACAGCTGGTGAACGCAAAGAAGTTAAAATATAGGAGATGCATCTTCAGCCTAAAGTTATAACATTGAAATGGCATATAACTTTAGTAGAGTTAAGAATTTAAAATAAGATGTAACTTTAATTATTTAACCCTATGGTGCCCCAGTTTAGGGTTTATACAACGGATCAACATCATGGCACAAGGGTAGTAATTCATAAGTACTCCGTTTTACTAACTAAAGCCTGAGTCCGAAGAGTCTCAGCACAGTGCACAAACTCTGTAGTAGCGGCGAGGATCCTGATATATTTTGTGTAGATTTTTTAAACTTTAAATTTTGCCCGGGCAGCGCCATTTTGCTACTCTTTTCGATTTCCAACTGCCAAGGGATTTTTTTAACGTGTGCAACAAAAAATATGCATGGGCGTCCACTCTTACTACCCGGAGACCAGGGGAAATTACCTAGAAGTCCACGTGAAAAAATCCAATCCTTCACTTGGGCCTGAACTCGGGACCTGCAGCACTCGAGGTGGATGCCATGCACCAGTATGTTACATAGGGTTCAGCAGGGTATCTGGAATTTGCTTCTGCTAGATTCACATCAGAAAAGTGGTTCTTTGAGTCACTGGGTATGAGTCTTTGGGAGGGAGAGGGGGGGTGTTTAGGAGGGAGAAAGTCAAGAAAAACAAAACCTAACAAACAGCCACACAAGGTACCAAGTCTTTTGTATTCTTCCATCCCCAGAGCCTCACTTTGGGCCCAGAAGCCAGAATTGAGGCCACCATGCAGCATGAGATCACTCGACTGACATCAGAAAACCTGGTAAGATTCTTGATGCATGCCAATTCATCGTCATCCCATAACACTGCATGTTGTTGGGTCACCAGTTGCTGTTGACCATCAGATCAGCTTTCCTCCAGCTTTGATGGTCAGATGCAGTGAACTTCATAATGACCTGCCTAAGGCATGTCCAGTCAGTCAAGTTCTGTACCCAGGTCTTCCTTGAGTCTTGGTCTCCCCCTTGTACTGAACCCTGTAGTATTGTGTTTTAATTCCAACCCTTTGCTACCAGTTCCAGACATGGTCACGTACAACAGAACATAAAAGAAAATTAGTAACCATGGAAAAGAGGTGTCTGAGAAAGACTGTAGGAGTGACCAAAAGAGGTAAAATCAGGAATGAGGTCATACGAGATAAAGTCGGCACAGAATCAATTCTAAATTACATGCTGAAAAGACACCAAATCAAATGGTTTGCTCACTTAGGGAGAATGCCTTCTGATGCTATACCATACAGGCATATACAAAAAGAGGAGAAGGACGTAAAGCAAGAGGTAGACCAAGAACAATTTGGGAAGATAACATCAGATAAACTCAACAACACCACAATGTGTCTATGATCGAAGCAGCTAGATGAGCACGAAGTAGGCACCTGTATCTCCCTCGACACCCGAAGCGGTAAAAGAGGATGTAAAGAAGAAGAAGAAGAAGCCTGTCAAGTTCTGTATCCAGGTCTTTCTTGGTTCTTGGTCTTCCCTTCTACTGAACCCTGTAATGTTGTTTTTGAGAACTATCAGTGGCTCTCAACCTTCCTAATGCCAGACCCTTTAATACAATTCCCTCATGTTGTGGCCACCCACAAACAATTATTTTCCTTCATAACTTCAATCAATATGAGTTTTCCGATGGTCTTGGGCGACCCCTACGAAAGGGTTGTTTGACCCCAAAAAGTGTCACCACTGGCAGGTTGGGAACTGCTATGTTAGATCTTATAGTATATCTCTACCATTGCCTTTTCCATCTTTGATTAGGAGACCCCCCCCCCCCCCAGTGTGTGTGTGTGTGTGTGTGTGGAGATGGTTGGGGGGGGGGGGAGATAGACCCACTGCCTAATTAATGCATGTTGTAGGAGGCTGTAAATAAATAAGCCAGAACTATAAAATGGATAAATAGTCAAAACTCAAGTTCTGGAACAAGATGAAAGTCCAAAAGTGGACGCACAGACTGGACTGTTTGCCAGAGTTTACAGCTGGTGAATGCAAAAAAAAAGGGTGAAGATTTAGTGTCAGTTGATCTCTAAAAATATAGATCTAACACTATATTCCAAGTGATTCACAAAAGGGTCCTTGACTGTCTTTGCTTAACTGTACCAGTGCTACTACTGTTTGTTCACAACCACAGTTACCTCTGATATTTTGTTTTCATTGATGACTTTGTGTTGTAGGATCTGCGAGAGTCCATTGACAAGCAATCAGACCAGATCCGCAAGCTGAAGAAAATACTGAAGGTTTATGCCAGAAAGTTAAAAGATGGAGAAGGTAAGAAATGGTAAAGATGAGAGTTAGTGAAGGTATAAGGTGGTCAAGGTGGAATATGGTGAAGTTAAGAAAGGGTTAAATTTAGAGGTAAAAGTAGGAGGTGTTGAAGGTAAGTATTGATGAAGGTAAGAAATGGGGAAGTGGAGAGATTTGGAAGGTATGAGATGGGGAAGGTCAGAGATGGAAAAGGTGGGAGCTGGTGAAGGTGAGAGATGGAGAAGGTGGGAGCTGGAGAAGGTAAGAGATGGTGAAAGTGAGATATGGAGAAGGTAAAAAGTGGTAAAGATGAGAGTTAATATAGGTACGAGGTGGTAAAGGTGAGATATGGTGACGTTAAGATAGGTTAAGGTTAGAGGTGAGGGTAGGAGGTGTTGAAGGTAAGAATTGATGAAGGTGAGAAATTGTAACGGTGAGAAATGGTGAAGGTGAGAGATGGGGAATTGGAGAGATTTGGAAGGTTTGAGATGGAGAAGGTGGGAGATGAAAAAGGTGTGAGATGGTGAAGGTGAGAGATGGTAAAAGTGAGATATGGAGAAGGTAAGAAATGGTAAAGATGAGAGTTAGTATTGGTATGAGGTGGTCAAGGTGAAATATGGTGAAGTTAAGATAGGATAAGGTTAGAGGTGAGGTTAGGAGGTGTTGAAGGTAAGAATTGATGAAGGTGAGAAATAATAAAGGTAAGAGATGGTGAAGGTAAGAAATAGTGAAGGTGAGAGATAGGGAAGGTGAGAGTTGGTAAAGGTGAGAGATAGTTTAGATTAGATTTTTAGGTAAGAGATAGTGAAGGTTAGATTTAGTGAATGTGAGAGACAGTGAAGGTGAGAGACGGTGAAGGTGAGAGATGGTGAAGTAGAAAGATGGTGAAGGTAAGGGATAGTGAAAGTAAGCAATGATGAAGGTGGAGATGGCGAAGGTAAGCAATGATGAAGGTGGTGATGGTGAAGGTGAGAGATAGTGAAGGTCAAATGTGAAGGTGAGAGATGGTGAAGGTCAAATGTGAAGGTGAGAGGTGACATTAGAGAAACTCTACAACGGTATGATGTATCTATGATTGAGGTAGCCAGAAGAGCAAGAGGCAGAACCTTGTATCTCACTTGACACCTGAAATGGTAAAGTAAGGAAAAAGAAGAAGAGAAGAAATTATTGCCACAAAAGGCATTAAAATAGCAACACATTAGACAAAACTTCAGCCAAAAGATACATGCATGTATAATTGCATAACAATGGACCAACCCAGGCCAGTCTTAAATTAAGAATAAATAATTAAGTTTAATAATATTTCATGGTGCGGTGATTTCATTCACTGGCTTGAGGGAAAGTTAAGTCCACTGCGCTGTGTTCAGGGAGATACCCTGTCCTCACCTTGGATGCCAGCATTCTCTGTGCTAGGCTAGCGGACCGTCAGCCAAGACTCGTATCACATGCCAATGTTGTGCACCTCAAATAAGGGCCTACATCAGCTTAAACAGAGATGGCAGGGGATCTTGGAGCTGGTGACATCCAGAGATGGCAGGGGATCTTGGAGCTGGTGACATCCAGAGATGGCAGGGGATCTTGGAGCTGGTGACATCCAGAGATGGCAGGGGATCTTGGAGCTGGTGACATCCAGAGATGGCAGGGGATCTTGGAGCTGGTGACATCCAGAGATAACAGGGGATCTTGGAGCTGATGACATCCAGAGATGGCAGGGGATCTTGGAGCTGATGACATCCAGAGATAACAGGGGATCTTGGAGCTGATGACATCCAGAGATAACAGGGGATCTTGGAGCTGATGACCCCCAGAGATAACAGGATATCTTGGAGCTGATGACATCCAGAGATAACGGGATCTTGGAGCTGATGACATCCAGAGATGGCATGGGATCTTGGAGCTGATGACCCCCAGAGATGGCAGGGGATCTTGGAGCTGATGACCCCCAGAGATAACAGGTGATCTTGGAGCTGATGACATCCAGAGATAACAGGGGATCTTGGAGCTGATGACATCCAGAGATAACAGGGGATCTTGGAGCTGATGACCCCCAGAGATAACAGGATATCTTGGAGCTGATGACATCCAGAGATAACAGGGGATCTTGGAGCTGATGACCCCCAGAGATAACAGGGGATCTTGGAGCTAATGACATCCAGAGATGGCAGGGGATCTTGGAGCTGATGACCCCCAGAGATAACAGGATATCTTTGAGCTGATGACATCCAGAGATAACAGGGGATCTTGGAGCTGATGACCCCCAGAGATAACAGGTGATCTTGGAGCTGATGACCCATCCAGAGATAACAGGGGATCTTGGAGCTGATGACATCCAGAGATAACAGGTGATCTTGGAGCTGATGACCCCCAGAGATGGCAGGGGATCTTGGAGCTGGTGACACCCAATGCTTTGGTGAAAACTTCTATAAAGAACTCATTGTACAAGAGCTAAATTCATGACCTAAACATCCTTTTAAATGACAAGGGTGCAGATTCTTTCAGGTGAGAGTATTACTAAATGACATCAACAATTTTGGAATGGCTACAATCATCCTAGAGTTTGGATCAATGTTTCCTATAGAGTCAGAGTGTATCTACCTGATAGACAATAAAACAGCAAACTACATATATCTGTAATATGGAAACTCAGGTCCTGAACAAAACTAAAGACCAGAAATGGACTTTCCCATGGAGTTTACAGACAGTGAACGCCAACAGACAAACAAAACAAATTTTATCCCGTCTTGTGTCAGCCTTTTTAAATTCAACTTTATTTCCCCATAACAGCGGCAGAAATTGCAGCAGAACTGGAGAATGAAGAAAAGGCAGCTAATACAGATGCTATAGCTACAGTCCTGCATCGGGAGAGATCTTACATGGGTATGCTGGAGTACAAGAGAGAGGATGAGGCAGCTCTCATCAAAAACCTGATCCTGGGTACGTGTTTTCATTTGGGGTTTCTTAAAGGGGTAGAGAGAAAGAGAGAGAGAGAGAGAGAGAGAGAGAGAGAGAGAAAGATGTGATCTGTATCTTGAAAGGATTCAGAGACATGTTTTCTAGAGCATGATTGGGTGATAGAGAGAGAGAGATTGAGAAAGAGAGAAAAAGATATTATCGTTTCATGAAAGGATTAGAGACACATGTTTTCTAGAGCATGACTGGGTTGGGAGAGACAGAATGAGTTGAGAGAGAGCATGAGTCATATGTTATCTGTATCTTGAAAGGATAGAAGAGAGAGAGAGAGAGAGAGAGATGTGTTTTCTAGAACATGATAGGGAGGGAGAGAGGTGTATAATGGTTCTCTGGATCTTCTAAAGACAGAGAGAAAAAAGAAGGTGGAAGGGGGTTGACTGGTTGGTGTTCTAGATATTGTTGAAATGATATTGATAATATTCGTTGAATACTTTGTTGAATAATGTGTACTTAAAATGGAGATAAGATATGTTTGTCACTGTTTGTGGTTTTTTAAAATCTAGTTTCTAGATTTTTAGAACCACCTCGAGCATTTATTGGTTGTTTTTGGTTTTACTAGACAATTTTATGTCTAGAAGTTTTTGTTTGATACCAGTGTTGAAATCAGCGCAAGGTGGTCTGCTGACAAATTATCAGCAGCTGAATCAGACCAGGTATCTAAGAATTATGAAGCATGTTCGCAACACAATTGCCACAGATACCACCTGTTTATAAAATTGAAATAGAATTTGCTTGGGATTTTGTGCATATTTTCCAGATTTCATTGGAAATGTCAAATGGTTTGGTCATATTATGCGGATGCCAAAAAAAAAAAAAGCAGTATACCAGAGCAAGCAATGATGTTCAGATGAAGCGGGAAGCAAAGAAGAGGCCGATCATGCAAATAATGGACAGAGGGAATAAGAGTCCCCGGGAATCCCCATTTACAAAGCGCATAGAAGGGAACTTTATACCTCACCTTGACACACACAAGAAAAAAGAGGATCACAGCCACTAGGGTCTGAGGAGAATGGCACTGCGAAGAGTTACCTGGGGATCTGGACAATTCTGAATACTCAAGGAAAAGGCAAGACGGATGTACTATCTGACAGGTACTGGTACCATCAGAACTGGAACTCTTCACTTGCTGCTGAAGATTGGGACGGAGTGCTTAAAGGAATGTCCCAAGTGTTATGATGTAGATTCTTAATTCAACCTTCAGCATAAGAGGATCAGGGTGAGATAAGATAAGATTTATTATCTATGTTGCAAATTGTAAGAGTTGTGGAACTGATTGTCTAGACATGATATACTGGTAAATCACCATGATGGTGGAGCTAGGTCAGATCTCATACTGGTCAAGACTTTCCTACATTTCTTTGCAGTCATCCTGGAAATTGGTTCCCTACAAGGGATCTGACAAATTTTTACATAATGAATATTTGAAGTCGGAAGGAATCTGACTAAAAGAATGTAGTCATTTCTCTAGATCCTGAAAAGGTAATAGAGAAAGAGATGTGTTAGTTCTCTGGATCTTTAGGAGATTAGTGAGAGATGTATCTGTATATTGAAAGGATTAGAGGAAGAGATGTTTTCCAGAGCATAACAGGGTGACAGAGAGATGGATAGAGATGTTATCCATTTCTTGAAGGGATTAGAGGGAGAGATGTTTTCTAGTACATGATAGGGGAGAAAGTGGGGTAGGGTGAGGTGTGTGAGAGAGAGAGAGAGCGAGAGAGAGAATAAAATGTTATTTGTGTCTTAAAAGATTAAAGAGAGATATGTTGCCAAAAAACTTGTGAATTATTCGATTAATTGCATGTGCAACTACTGATCTGTTGTAACTGCTGCCTCCATTGACGATGAACTTCCTTTCTAGTGTTGGACTATATGTGTTGGCACTTCTGACTGCAGCCTTATTTATTTAATGAGCTTGTTTGCTGTTGGATTTGCTAAGACTACAGACTATTACAGGTTTTTTTTCACAAGGGGCAGAGATGGATATTCTGTGTGGTTTTTATTGGCACAGGAACACGGCAACTGTGGGCTGATCCCTTTGCTGTGATTACCTGATTATCTGTTAGCTGGGGAACCAAAATGCACTGAAATAAGCCAGATTAGTACAGACGTGCACACAACATTTGTCCTGGAATAAGACCAAAATCTGGGTTTGGACAAAAAACTAGAACTTTCTGCCGGATTTCACAGCCATTGACCGCAGAAGAAGAAGGTTATATGTTATCTAGACTACAGTATTTGCATTTAAATAATTATGTTCTGTTTGTAAAAATGCACAATATTCGTCCTGGAATGAGACCAAAATCTGGGCATCAACAAATAATAAAAATTTCACCAGAGTTCCCAGCCATTGACCGCAGAAGAATAAGTTTATGTGTTTTCTTCTTCTTCTTCTTCTCTTCCACCTTGTACCTCATTGAAATGTCGGGGGGAGATGTAACATTGGTTGACGAGCTCTGTCAAAAGCACTATTGAGACTGTTGTTCATTTCTGTAGTAAAGTAAAGTAAAGATCCCTTTTCACGCCTTTCGGCGCATCGGGCATATGGGCAGAGCGTCCCATATTTTTACAGACCATCAGCACTCTGTGGGTAATGTGGTCAGCATTACGCCAGCTGTCTTTACTTTCCCAGGACAGCCCATCCTGGTACCCATTTTAGGCTGGGTCGATTCTGTAGCTGCTCTTAATGCCATCACTCCGTATTTTCCGATGTCTTCCGCTCACTCTATACCCGTTGTAAGGTTTCGGTGTGGCTCGCTGTAGTAGATAGTACCAGGGCATTCTTGTTAGGTGTCCAAACCACTTCATTTGTTGTTCTTTGATGACCTGTAAGACTGGTTTCATTCCTAGCATTCATCTGATTTTGTGATTTCGTATTCTGTCTTTCCTTAAAACTCCTGCAGCTCTTCTAAGGCATTTCATCTCTGTTGTCACAGTTTTACTTTAATGTGGATTACATTAATGTGTTTTCTGGACTACAACATTTGCATTTGAATAAATTGTTTTCCAGATCTAAAACCCAAACTGGCTTCTGGCTTGATACCTGGCCTCCCTGCTTACATCTTGTTTATGTGTGTCCGTCACACTGATTACATCAACGACGACGAAAAAGTGAAGTCGTTGCTGACAGCCACGATCAATGGAATCAGAAAAGTCGTCAAGGTATGTTTGGATATGTTTCATTCTTGTTTAATAAAATTATTACGTTACATTATTATAATTTATATGAACCTGACTGGCTGGTTCTGCACCACTTGGTGGTGAATTGATGTATGACAAGCTAGACGTTGTGAGGGCCCTTAAGGAGGAGTGACCAGTGAGAGGGAACAAAAAGATCATTACGGTTTTGAGGAGAATGGCGTGGCGAGATGTTAACCAGGAGATCTGGGCAATGCTCAACATTCAAGGGAAAGGCAAGACAGATATACAATCAGAGAGTTACTGGTGCCATTGGAATTGAAACTCTTCGCTTGCTGCTGAAGATGGGGGTGGAGTGCTTATGGGAATGTCCCGAGTGTTGTGATGTCAATTCTTATTTCAACATTTATTTTAATATAAAAATATCAAAATGATGTGTTTATTTTCGGGTTTCGAGGGAGATAAAAGGTTCTGTTTCTTGTGCTTCTGGCCGCCTCGACCATAGGCACATTGTGCTCTTGTAGAGTTTCGCTTTGCATTTTTAGTCATCCTCATACTGTGCATCTTTCTTCTCTTTTAGTGAAAAGTTCTGGTTGTTTTTCCCCCTTCTGGACTTGGGTCTTTTCCCACTGCGTGCACTCCAGTTTACAGCTCTGGCTTGTTTGTATGCAGGGTTCCTCACCTCTCGGGCAGATCAGTCCAACTTCGAAAGAAATAACCTGTGACTTATTACCTGTACTGACATGTTGACAAAAAAAAAGGCAGTTGATAAATGCGCTGTTCTTTCAGATTTTGTGTTATCAGTGCCAGACATGGGCAATGTCAGAAAACATAAACGCAAAATCAAAAAAGAAACACCTGTCACTCATTACCTGTACTGACATTCTCAAAAAAAAAAAAAAAAAAAAAAAAAAAAAAAAACTACAGTTGATAAATGCGCTGTTCATACAGATTTTGTGCCATCAGTGCCAGACATGGGCAATGTTAGAAAACACAAACGCAAAATCAAAACATGTGAGATGAGATGCATAAGAAGTGTGACGGGAAAAAACAAGGGACACCGTCGCCTATGAAGTACTGAGAAACAATGGTATTCACAGTACCAGTATATGATGTCATATAACATCAAAGAATTGAAAGGTTTGGCCATCAAGTCAGAATAAATAAAATCGGCCAGCAGCTAGAGTGTACTACATGAAAACAGCAGGCTACAGATCAAGAGGCCGGCGAAAGAAGAGCTAGGTGGAAGGAGTTAAAGAGACACTTCGGAAATGCAGTGTGGCATAAACATAAGCTCCGTAACTAGCAAAAGACAGGAAACTACATCTAACCTCTCTCTCTGCGACGCTTTATGGTAGTAGTAGTTGGAGAAGAACATGACATGCATGTTTGGCCTGTTTTGTGGGGGGGGGGGGGGGGGGGGCAGTGTGTCTGTTCTGAGGCCCTGAAACCCAGTGGGGGTGTTTTCTTATGAATTTATATTTATTATTTGCAGAGACACAGCGATGACCTTGAACGTATTACCTTGTGGCTTGCCAACACCTGCCGTCTGCTGCATACATTGAAGCAGTACAGTGGAGAAAAGGTAATATACATACCGCTCTGACCAGCACTTCCCACTTTCCATCTACTTATTTTATGGGGTTTCACAAGGGTAATTTTTTATAACTTGGGATATAATTTGTGATTAGCATACACGCCTCTCTCCTGGCACTTACTGTTTTTTATATCCTACATCTGTTTGGCTGTTTTATCTAGTCATGTCTTGCCCTGTGTTTTCGTGGCTTGTCCTATCAAGTCATGTCATGTCTTACCTATCTTAGCATATTCTGTTGTGTATATTTGTGTTTTCTTATTCTGTTCTTTATTTTCTATCCTTGTCGTGTTGTGTCATGTCCTGTCCTGTCCTGTCTTGCCTTGCGGTATATTGTTAAGTCTTGGTTGTTTCATCATTTCCTGTCCTGTCTTGCCTTGTGGTATTTTGTTTAGTCCGGTTGTTTCATCATTTCCTGTCCTAAATTTTCTTTTCTAGTGTCTTATTTTTATCAGGTTACATATCTTCATTTCTAATGTTATTTCAGTTTTAACATATAACCGTGAAAGTTCTAGAACCACTAATGGTAAACAACAGAAGTTAAATGCATTAGAAAACAAATGCCTGAGGAAAATGTTGAACATAAAATGAGATGAAATCAAGAAGAGTGAACAAATAAGAGTCAAAGCTGGACAACCACTAGTATCAGCAGTTATGAGACCCCAAACAATGGCCACATTCTGAGAAGAGTTCAACAGAGAATCACAAAACAGGCACTGAAATGGGAGATAGAAGGATTGAGGAAACGAGGACGTACAAAAGAATCATAAGGTGGACATTACAGAGAGGAGCAAAAGTGGCTAGACTGGATCCCATCTATGGTATTGAGCTGATTGCACAGGATAGAAGGGAATGGAGAAATAGAAATGTGACATATAATGGACAAGAGAACAATGAGTGAATGAATGTAATGTCTTTTTATGTCTAGCCGTATCTTCTTGTTTTCAGTCTTTCCCTGTCTAATAATCTTGTCTTGCCCGATTCTGGCTTCTCTTTTTAAAAGTTCTCTTTATATTTTTTCCACTGAATCTTTCAGGCTTTCTCTCATGAGATATATCTAATGGCCAACCGTGCATTTGTTGCAGCAATTCCAAATTGAGAACACATCAAAGCAGAATGAGCAGAGCCTGAGGAACTTTGACCTTTCTGAGTACAGACAGGTGTTCTCTGACCTTGCAGTGTGGAACTACCAAGCTTTGATTAAACTGATGGAGGAGCTCATTCAGCCGAACATTCGGTAAATCAGTTTGTATATTTACTTACAGTTCGGCATTATTTGTTGTTGAATTCTTTAGAGACAGAAAGCAAGACTTTTTAAATACATAAGAGACCCCTTGAAGGTTCCAGGGCCCCATTGTGGGGGTACAAAACAGACTTACTGCCCCTAACAAGCATATTGAAAGAGTTTGCTATTCAGACATGTTTTCTTCTGAGTTGGAATGCATCTGCTTGAGAAGCAAAGAACCAACTGTGTGCATCAGAATGTCAGATTTGTAAAACCGATGTGCAGGCAAAACTCAGGTCTGGAAGAAGACTAAGAGTCCATAACTTTCTGCCAGAGTTTACAGCTGGTCATCTTGAAGAAGAAGAAAGTACTTAGGTACTCTTATAACAGCAGAGGTAAGATGTATTAACTACTTCTTAACGTCCTCTTTCACCTCTTGAAATTTCAAGGTAGATAAAAGTTACTGCTTCTTGCTCTTCTAGGCGCTCCGATCATAGAGACATCATATTGTTGTATGGTTTCTCTGATGTTATCTTTCCATTTTGTTTTTGGTCTACTTTGTGCTGTACATCCATCTCCTTTCTTTGTTTTTGTTTTGTTTGGGTATGGCATCACAAGGCATACTCTCAAAGCTGGCAAACCGTTTGATTTACACACAAACACAAGATGCGCGTGTGCGTGCACACACACACAAACCCACAGACACACACACAGTCACACGCAAGCGTGGACACACAGGCAGACACACAAACACGCCTACATATACATACCACAGGAGGCGGGTAAGCTGGTGAGGCACCAAGTTTCTTTTAGGCAGTCTGTGATGAGAGCGGTATTCTGCAAAGAACCTGTTACATAATAATGATGACTCTATTTCCAAACTGTCTCTCTGTTCCACTAATGTTAAGTCAACTGGCACTTACATGTAAATTGATAAATGCAGTTGGATTTGGTGTGCGAAGATACTGGTTTTCTTAACAGATAGGATTGTAATGGGAGTGGTCTTGTATCTAACCAGCCACATATATTTAATAAAAAATAGGTACAGCATTTCACAAAAGGAAGAATAATCTATGCAATCTTATTTGACAATCAAAGTGAGAAGGAAAGTTCTGAAATCCTTAAGTCTCAGATGGTTTCAGAAAAGAAAGCCAATTTGGCACAATAATTACAGTAAAAAGGCATCGGCGTATGAATGTCAAATATACAGCATATACTATGCTGCATTTAAAATTTGACCAGATTTCTGTATCATACCCAGACCAAAAAAAAAAAAAAAAATGTTACACACCATATGTCGTGGGTGTTTTTCACGGCTGTGTTGCTCAGTTCACAATCACAGTTTTTTAACCGAGAGCCCTGGGTATCGTCACTGGAACTAATGAGTTTGTGCTCTGTACAATGCTTTCGGCAGGCGGCTAGTTGTTCTGCTGAGAGAGACCGAGCCTTATGGGATAAAACCTGGGGCGGTGATGTGGATCGTCTCAACTTTAACCTTTCAGCTGAACACATGTGGTTGCCTTGCTTGGGACAAAAGGGTTAAGAGCTAACTGCTGATTACTGATCTAACAATCAGCATCATAGCATGCCAGGCCTACTACCCACAGATGCCCTGTCTCCTACAGCAATCAGCATCATAGCATGCCAGGCCTACTACCCACAGATGCCCTGTCTCCTACAGCAATCAGCATCATAGCATGCCAGGCCTACTACCCACAGATGCCCTGTCTCCTACAGCAATCAGCATCATAGCATGCCAGGCCTACCACCACCAGATGCCCTGTCTCCTACAGCAATCAGCATCATAGCATGCCAGGCCTGCCACCCACAGATGCCCTGTCTCCTACAGCAAACAGCATCATAGCATGCCAGGCCTGCCCACAGATGCCCTGTCTCCTACAGCAAACAGCATCATAGCATGCCAGGCCTGCCCACAGATGCCCTGTCTCCTACAGCAAACAGCATCATAGCATGCCAGGCCTGCCCACAGATGCCCTGTCTCCTACAGCAAATGTCTTCAGGTGTTATACCCTGATTTCCTGGTAGATACCATATAAGCTCTGTTCAGGGGTAACATCATGGTTAAATTTACCTATGAAAAGATAGTAGTATGCTGTAGGCCGGCCCCTTATTTTTATAGAGGAATCGGCAAACAGTAGGCAAAGTATTCAGTATCATACCAACTGCCTTTACTTTTTCCCTGTCATTTCCATTTCAGGCTTGGTTACCTGAAAGAATTGGCCAATTTTAAATATCAGCCTGTGGAGATTTGAACCTATGACTTTGAGTCTGGCAGGCAAATATTAATCTATTATTACATAAAATCTATAGTATTGTTGCACTGCCCAGGCTTCGTGCTATGGATCCTGATATCCCATGCACTAATTGTGGACAATTTTTCTTAACGTGGGCAGGTTTCACTAGCCACATTTGCCATCACTATGGGCTGTAGGTCCCTTCCCTCCCCATAGCACAGTATATATTACTATTGTTTCAAGGACAGAAAATTGTGCCAACGATGATTGTTCTTCTCTTTTTAAGTACCTGCAATTTTGGAGCACAAAGCCATCGCAGGTCTGACTTCCTGTTGTTATTCACCCATGTAGTACAGAAGTTCTATAACATTGTTTTGCTTTTTTTTTTTAATTATTTCAGTTCCTGCGATCCTGGAGCACGAAGCCATCGCAGGTCTGACTGCCAGTAAACCATCCGGTCTTCGCGGCCGATCATCCAGCAATGCCCGGGAGCTGGAGGACGGGAAGGATTCGCAGCATTCACTGGATGTTCTCATGAGAACGGTAACTTGCTGGAATTATTATCTGGTTTAAAAAAAATATATAATGTCAAAGACCCTTTCCTCCGCCAATAGGTACATGCTGGCGTAGGTGCTCATTTGTCTCCACAGATCATGATCCCTGGTTGCCTGGAACAGCTCTCTTGATGATATCCCTCCATGCCATCGTTTCAGCTCATCCAGCATCATCTCTCTTGGTCTGCCTCTACCCTTTTTTTTCACTGAGCTTTCCAGTTGTCATGATGTTCTCTAATGACTCTCTTCTCATTGCATGGCCAAAGAACAGTGTTTGTCTTTTTCTTATTGTTGTGTAAAGTGCTTGCCCTATATTTTATAGACCAAGAGGCACTCGATGGGTAATGTAGCCAAAGCCAACACAGCGCCGGCCACTTTTACTTCTTTGAACCTTACCTCATACCCGTTTAAGGCTGGGTATTTATGGCCTCAGATATTCCATCTATCCATCGTTTGTGTGGTCGATCTGCTCAAGGCCTCTTTAAAACCTGATGTTGAAAGGCAGAACGGACTAGAGAAAAAGACAAACCAGAGGTATCATTGATATTAACAATAGAGTACTGTGCAGTTCAGATGCAGTGGTAAACTACAGAATGTAAAAATGCTTAGTAAAACCACACAGTGGACAATAAGTACTGAGGTTAGTTTGCACACTCCTGTAAACAAGGTGGAACTAACTTTAATGATTAAGTGTTTTACTAACAATAATATAAGTAATAACTTTTTAATTTACATTTTACTTAGTCCATCCTCTTCTACCCTGGGGTGTAGAGGTTTGCCAGAGAGATCACCAGACTTTTCTGTCAGCAGTTTTATTTTTTTGCATAGGGGGAACCCTTGAGGCCATAGAAATATTATATATATTTATCTATATAAGTAAAAGTAAAGATCTCTTTTACGCCTTAGGAGCATTGGGCATATGGGAAGAGCATCCCATATTTGTACAGACCAATCGGCACTAGATGGGTAATGTGGTCAGCATTACACCAGCTGTCTTTACTTCCCCAGGACAGCAATCCTGGTACTCACTTTAGGCTGGGTTGACCTGCCACGCCCGATACCGTGATAAAAACCCAGTTTTATATATATATATATATATATATATATATATATATATATATATATATATATATATATATATGATAAACAGACAGTGTATTGATCGGCACTCATAGAAATAAGTAGAAAGATAGAAGGACACACTAAAATTGAAAGCTATAATAACCATACTGAGAATTGAACCTGTCACCTCCAAATGGTGTGAGCGCTCTGCTGTGGAAATAAGTGTACTAAGAACATGAGCAACTGTTGAGATCTTAATGCTTCCTGATTCCTTATTGAGAGCTCCTCTGTGCCCCCCATAAGAGTTCCTCTGATGAGAGTTACTTAGTTCTTCTCTGTTTATATTAGAGAGTTCCCAAGTGCCCTCGTTCTTTGTTGATAATCCCCCAGTTCTGCCCTGTTCTTTATTGAGTTTCTCAGTTCTCTCCCATTCTTTTTTAAGAGCCCCCCCCCGCTCCTCGTTAAGAATTTCCATCACGCTGTCCCGTTTTTTGTGCATGTTAGACAAACCATAATCTTGATATATTTTTGTGTTCCCCCCCCTCCCCACAGCTGAACAGCTACATGAAGATTGTCAAGCAACATGCTGTGGACCCGGAGCTCATCAAGCAGATATTTAGACAAGTGAGTGGACTGCTTGTGGTACTTTAGTTGTTTCATCCTGATATAGCATGCATACACACACATACAGAGAGAGAGAGAGAGAGAGAGAGAGAGAGAAAAGAGAGAGAGAGAGAGAGAGAGAGAGAGAGAGAGAGAGAGAGAGAGAGAGAGAGGGAGAGAGAGAGAGAGAGAGAGAGAGAGCAAAGCAAAGAGCAGCAGGAATCTTCGCTGACCATTGTCCTACTACAGCTCCAATGCACACAGTGATACTACTCATCATGTCTTTTATATACTGTTGCTCTCACCAAGGCACACCGCCAAATCTCTCTTTCTCTAGCAAATTCTCTGGGCCTGTGTTCTTTCACAGCCAGTGCGTCTTCTTGTATCCACCTTCGCACAAGTCACCTCAGCCTAGTGTTCCAGAAACTACACCCTCCATCATCACTATCTTCAGGCCACCTTGATGTTTAACATGGTCAAAATACCTCAGCTTTGGAACCAGGATGCTGTTTATGAGCCAGTTCTCCTAAAAAAATTATACAGTAGTACTTTGATATAATCCATTGCATATCAGTGAACATATACCAAACAAATTTTCCCATAAGGAGTAAAGGGAGATTGATTAAACCGTTCCCATAAAGAAAACAAATCCTAATGAGCGGGTTGTATAAAATAATTTGATTACTGCCTAATACTACAATACATGAATTCAAAAGCAATTAAATAAAATAAATGACAAATGTAACCTTACTTTATCTTCCTGAGAAGTGTTAGAGTACCTGCTGGGATGGTGCTGAGAACGGAGGAGGGGCATATATTAATTGTTTGGAATGGGATTGCCTTCTGATAATATTTCAGGAATATGAAATCCTAGTATTTTGTCTCTCTTTTTTTCCTGTCTCCTTTCTCTACTTGGATCTGGTTGAGGCTAATCAGATTTGACTTTTACTAAAAATCTGTCCAAAGAACTTTGCTTCTGCCCTATCCTTAGGATGTTTGGGAGATGTGACACTGTCTGGTCCTTCCAGACAGTGCTCTTATGACTTGTTTGGGTTTTGTTGGGTTGGTGTTTTCCCTCAAAGTTGGAGTACATCTGCCGATGAGGTAGGGAACAACAAACAAATATGCCAGTAAAACGGATCTACACGCAAAGCTCAGGTCCAGGTCAAAGCCAAAAGTCCAAATGGACGAGCCACCGGGGCGTTTGGCCAGAATTCACAGCCGGTGAGCTAGAAGAAGAAGGAGGAGGAGAAGAAGAAGGGGTGGTGCTTCTCCAGAGAGTCATTGACATCCCTCCTTGGCTTTGTCTCGAGAGAAGTAAACAAGTATAGCAAATGCAAATTTGGGCACCTAAGCAGGACGTACACTAATTTATATATCATTATACCACCTTTGGGGTGTAGGGGGGAGGGGGGGAGAGGGGTCTTTGAGCCTGAGGATTTACGGCCGCATGGCTAGTGCTGTTACCACGACTGTACAGGTGAGGTTTTTATTTTGCCACTGACAGAAAAAAATCCCCAGCCTTACCGAAGATTCGAATCCGAGTCTCCAGTGTGAGAGCCCAGCATTCTAATCCTTCGACCAGCCGCTCCTTGGTTTCCAATATCACTAACACAAAAAATTGACTTGATACAGATTTAAACTCTAGACCTTCAAGCGGGCAGGCAGTATATCTAGCTGCTACATCTCAATTACTCCATTTCCCTCCAATCTGCATCTGTGGCTTAATCTTGGGGAACATGCTTCCTAATTTCATAGTTCTGTGTTCGATCCCAACTGCTGACACTTAGACAGTGTGCTGCTTCCTTGTGTTGGTTTTAAAAGTGGTATCAAGAACAGAATGTTAGAAACCAGTGGCAGAACTACAGAACATAAAATGACCTAGTGAAATCACAGATTGCCCAAAAATTGCTGGAGATGGTTCAACATCCTGTAAAGGACACACAGATAACTTAAAAACTGAAATTACAACTGGAATAATCTTCCTCTTCTTCTTTGCGTTTGGTTTCGTATGCTTAGATCAGACCATCAGGTGGGTTGCCTCTATGAACTCCAGCTGGAATAATAGAAGTGTATGCAGAATAGGACAGGCAAAAAAAGTATTTTATAAAATAAAGAACATCTTATGCAGTATATTTCTGTCATGGAAGGTTAGAAAAAGAATTCTTGCTTGCTACATACATCCAGTTTTGATATATGGCTGTGAGTCCTGGACAATCGGTAGGCAGGCCAAAAAATGTCTTGAGGCCTCAGAGATGTGGTTTTACAGAGGACTTTTAAATAACTTGGACAGCCAAAAACAGCAACCAAGAGGTTTTGAAAGAGGCGGGAGCCCGAAGACAACTTATCACATACATCAGAAGGAGAAAGTCATCATTTTTTGGCCACATTATGAGAAGAGGGAAAATGGAACATGTTGTGACCACTGGAAAGATCTGTGGAAGGAGGGATATAGGAAGACAGTGAGAGAAGATTCTTGACAGTCTTGTTGCATGGCATGGAGGTGTGTCAGCATACGGTCTGATACATGCTGCAGGAGATCTCGGATTGAGAAAAGGCAGGATCGCCCACACCAGTGGGTAAGGCCCCTGATGATGAAGATGATGATGTTGAATGAATACCACTGTGGAAACCAACACAAGGCTCAAGGCCCACAGCTGGGATCGAACCCGGCTACCCGGCATTACAAAGCTCGTTCGTAACACCTAAGCCACAGATGCCGACTCTTCAGTGTTATCAGTCCATATTCTCCTAGGGGGACCTCTTGATTTCTCAACATCTTTAGTGCCTGCACTGATAGTTGTTCTTACTGCATTCTTACTCAATGACCAAACCATTTGCTTTTCTATTTCTCAGTGAATTTGATTATAGGTGTTGTTCCCACAGTCTGTCTAATACTGTTGTTTCCAACTTTGTCTCGGATGGTTATGTTTGAGGCTTTTCTCAGGCATATGAAGTGTTTTTTTTTTAAACATAGGCTAGCTTTTGATAATATCCAAGTCTGGCATCGGTAGCACAGTGTTGGTATGAATCTGCTGTTTATGATCTGTTTCTTGGCAATCATACTAATGTTTTGATGTCTTAATTAAGGTGTAAGTTGGTATATAAGTGCACTCGCTGGTTGGCATCTTGTTTCTATTTCCCGATATATTCTCCCTTTCTCGGAGAATATACTTCCTAGATTTTTAAATTCTTTAACTTGCTACAGACAAGCACTATTCAACCTGATGTGTAGCAGACTAAGAATTCTGTTGAACTGTAGTACTTCAGTTTTGGTAGTATTGTGTTTTTTTTTTCATGTTATATCTTCTACATGTTGAACTTAGCCTTTACAAATGGTCTTGCAGTCTACTCCCCTCATTGAAGAACAGATATTGAGTGTCACATATACAGTAAAACCTTATTAACGTGAATTCTAATTAATAAGAATTTAGTTAATGTTAAAAAACATTTGTGCAAAATTGGAACTAATGACATTAATACATCCTTGCTTGGACCACATTGTCGTTCATGTTAACAGAGTAGTATTCTTCTTAAGCTAAGGCGTTGCGAGTCCGACTCGTAAGCCAGCATACCGCGATCGAAACCCACTGCAGGCTGCGTGGATTTTTATCGTGGTATGGGACGTCGCAGGTCGACCCAGCCTAAAATGGGTACCAGGATGGGCTGTCCTGGGAAAGTAAAGACAGCCGGCGTAATGCTGACCACATTACCCACAGAGTGCTGATGGTCTGTAAAAATATGGCACGCTCTGCCCATATGCCCGATGCGCCGAAAGGCGTGAAAAGGGATCTTTACTTTTACTTATTCTTCGTAAGTAAGTTTGTATCAATAAGGTTTTACTGTAATTCTGTTGAAGTTTGAACAATGAATCAACAACATGGCACACGGGTAGTAACCCATAAGTACTTCGTTCTTCTTCTAACTCAAGTCTGAATCTGAAGAAGCTCAGTACAGTGCACAGTCTCTGTAGCACCGGCGAGGATCCTGAAATACTTTGGGTAGATTTTAAACTCCAAATTTTGCCCAGTCAGCGCAGTTAGGCTATTTCCAATTTCCAACAGCCAAGGGATTTGTGTGTGTGTGTGTACAACAGTACACACGGGCATCCGATCTCACCACCCAGAGACCAAGGGAAATTCCTAGAAGCTCACATGAAAAAATCCCAACCCCCACCGAGGCCTGAACCTGGGACCCCTAGCACACGAGGCGGACACCATACCCCGAGACAAGGAAGTCCAGTGCAGTAAAAGTTTAACGTGCAAAAGAAGCAAAGTACTCATTCTGTGTAGGTAATCAAACTCCAAGAGGCTCAGTATTCAGAAGTGAGATTAAACAGTTATGAGCAGGACGTGCTGATTCCTTGGGTGAGAGAAATATGTATTGGCTCTGCATTTATTGTGTCCCACAAATGCTCGTGAAAAGTTGCCCATGCCTTCTCCTATTTATTCCGACCTGAATGCAGAAGAAGAAGAAGTAAAGTCCTGGTTTTGCCAGCCATAGCGGCTTTTAGTTATTTGTTTGTGTGGGTCAACTGTGTTGGTGGGGCACCATTTTTTATATCGACTGTTTTTCCCTAAACGAAGATGACCACACAACATGTGCTGTTAGTAAGACTACCATGTCAAGATGCCAATCTGTCCATCATCTTCTGTCAGGGTCTGTATTTGCCCCTCTTTTCCTCCAACTGTGCCACCGTTACGACAAACCGCAGTATTCCCCATCTCACAATCTGCCTGAAGAATGTTATTCCCCATCTTACAACCTGCCTGAAGAATGTTATTCCCTATCTTACGACCTGCGGCTTAGAATGTGTTTCCCCATGTTACGGCCAACAGAAGAATGATATTATCGCATCTTACAACCTGGCCTGAATTACATGTTATTCCCCATCTTACGACCTGCCTGAAGATTTGTTTATTCCCCATCTTATGACCTGCTGCTGAAGAATGTTATTCCCCATCTTACGACCTGCCTGAAGAATGTCCATTCCCCATCTCACGTCAGGGTCTGCCTGAAGCCCCTCTTTTACTCCATCTCACGACCTGCCTGAAGAATGTTATTACCCATCTCACGATCTGCCTGAAGAATGTTATTCCCCATCTCACGAGCTGCCTGAAGAATGTTATTACCCATCTTACGACCTGCCTGAAGAATGTTATTCCCCATCTCACTAGCTGCCTGAAGAATGTTATTCCCCATCTCACGAGCTGCCTGAAGAATGTTATTCCCCATCTCACTAGCTGCCTGAAGAATGTTATTCCCCATCTCACGACCTGCCTGAAGAATGTTATTCCCCATCTCACGACCTGCCTGAAGAATGTTATTACCCATCTCACGATCTACCTGAAGAATGTTATTCCCCATCTCACGAGCTGCCTGAAGAATGTTTTTACCCATCTCACGACCTGCCTGAAGAATGTAGACTGCTAAATGTACAAGATATACTTCCTCATTGTCTAAAACTGTAACCATTCATAAACCTCTTTGTCAGGTACAATCTAAGTCATCTTGAGCAGTGGTTGAGAGATAACACGCTGCATGACTTTGGAGCACAAGCTGCTTTGGAGCCGATCATCCAGGCATCTCAGCTTCTACAAGCCAGGAAAACAGACTCCGATGTCGACAGTATTTGTGACATGTGTTCGAAGCTGACACCTGCACAGGTATGACACTTGTGTGAGAGCAGTAGTTAATGATTACTTTATGGTTAACCCATTCTCCTCAGTCATCTCAACAGAACAGACCAAGTCAATGATGTCAGTGTGAGAGCAGTAGTTAATGATTACTTTATGGTTAACCCATTAACCTCAGTCATCTGAACAGAACAGACCAAGTCAATGATGTCAGTGTGAGAGCAGTAGTTAATGATTACTTTATGTTAACCCATTAACCTCAGTCATCTCAACAGAACAGACCAAGTCAAAATTGCAGCTCCTCCAGGAGAGAGCAGTAGTTAATGCATTACTTTATCTTTTAAAGCCTTAACACTGCCATCTCAATAGAACATATTTATTTTTAACGAGTGTTTGTTGAGTCTGCAGTGTCCAGGAAGTGAGCATGGGGTCTCGCAGTTCATGTAACTGGGATCTTTTCAGCCTAGAAGACACGTTTGCCAGAGAGCTTTTTGATTTTCTCTTAAGAGGGTTTTTACTTCTGGAAAGGCAAGTGTTTGTTGAGTTTGCAGTTTCCATCAGTTAAAGTAAGCTGTCATTACATTTGATGGGGATGGTTTGCATCTTTCCTTATTTAAAGGTCAGAGCTGGGATTAATTTTTTTCCATAGTGGTTTGGCATGCTTTCATTTTCCAGCCTGGCTGTCATTTGATTTTCTCTTAAGAGGGTTTTTACTTCTGGAAAGGCAAGTGGCTGTTAGATGGTTTGGCATGTTTTCCATCGGTTAAAGCCACTGAGCTGTCATTACATTTGATGCAGCAGTTAGATGGTTTGGCATGCTTTCCTTGGTTAAAGCCACAGAGCTGTCATTACATTTGATGTGACAGTTAGATGGTTTGTCATGCTTTCCTTGGTTAAAGCCACAGAGCTGTCATTACATTTGATGTGACAGTTAGATGGTTTGGCATGCTTTCCTTGGTTAAAGCCACAGAGCTGTCATTACATTTGATGTGACAGTTAGATGGTTTGTCATGCTTTCCTTGGTTAAAGCCACTGAGCTGTCATTACATTTTGATGTGACAGATGGTTTGTCATGCTTTACTTGGTTAAAGCCTCAGAGCTGTCATTACATTTGATGCAGCAGTTAGATGGAATCCACTGTAACTGAGCTTTCACTTTTTCTTTTTGACAGCTCTGCAAGTTGCCTGTTAGGCTATACAGCATTTAAATCCTATTCCCACAACTTTTGTTTACAGAAACAAATGCCCTTTTCTGAGTTTGCTTATTTTTAGAAATCAATTCTGGTCTGCCTAAGTTTATTAATTGTGTAACAATTTATGTTTTTAAAGAATTGCCCTGACTGAGCATTATTTATTTGTATGCGTTCCACATACTTTTTTGTTGGCAACACACTTATTAATTAGTAATACATTTTCCTTGTGTGGGTTCCAGAGCTCTATTACAGAGAAAACAAGAATAGACTCACTGCCTGCTCAAAAGCATGTTGTAAGAGTCGACTTATTGGGAGCTTCCTTCGAAGTCGTAGTGCATCTGCACCAGGAACCAGCAGTCTGCATACAAATGAGTTAGATCTATAAAATGTATGCACATGCAACAATCAGGTTCTGAAAGAGGACTGCAGTCCAGAAGTGGATGAATGACCAGAAATTTCCACCAGAGTTTACAGCCAGTGAACGCGAAGAAGAAGAAAAATTTATAAATTTCTACTGCAACTAATTGCCCTCTTTTTTTTGGTCTACCGTTCTTCCTAATTTGTTTTCTTTTTCCATTTTACTTTGCCAGATTGTGAAAATTCTGAACATTTACACACCAGTGGACGAGTTTGAGGAACGAGTTCCCATACCTTTTATACGGAAAATCCAGGCCAAACTAAAGGAACGAGAGGAACCGGGAGCAGCCAGCAGTACCCTTCTCATGGATACCAAGTACAGCTTTCCCGTGACATTTCCTTTCAATCCCAGCTCTGTAGCCCTGGAGACCCTCGCAGTTCCTGACCAGCTTCATTTGGGCTTCTTAATTCGGCATTGAGACACACTGAAATCTTCTTGTCTCATCATAGAAGTAAATAGACTTTGCATGTCTGGTCATAGTGTTTCAAATGGATTTGATATGAATAATGGCTAGTTCGGCTGTTTACATTTAAAAACCTGTCCTAAACACACAGTGAATTTTAAAACAAAATGTGATTTTTTTTTGCAAATATTAAATTAGTATTTTCACATATTTTATTGTAGAAAAAGAGTAATCAAAATATAATTGTTGGTGATCATTTTTAAACATAAAAAAAATTATTTATACCTGCTGTTTATAAAGTATTTTTAAGCCATGCTCAGTGATCTTTAAATATATTTCATGTTTAATTATTCTACATACATATGACAGATTAAAGAAAGTGTTGCAACGACATGTGGGTGCTTTATATGTGCAGAATCATAGCTGTACTCTAAATATGTGCTTATATGTTTACATACATTCAGGGTTTTTCTTATGTGCATACCTTATATTCTCTGTCTTTTTATTCACAACTTTCTCTTGTTCCAGTTCAGGTGTCATAGGTTCTGGTTCTTGTCTTTTGGCCGCCTCGACCATAGACACGTAGAGTTTTTCTGGTTTGATCTAAGTGACAAAGTCCAGCGCTAGTAACATAGAGTGGGAATGAATAGGCTTTGTATGAAATGTTAATTTCTGCTGATTGGGATTGTCAGTTCGTTTGATGTTAAGTCTCTCTAAACTCTAGAAGCTCCAACAAGCAGACAGACTAGGCACTGCTCCTCTGTTCTGGTAGTTTCTGCAGCATGCTTTATGCCAACTGCAATGTGGCTCTGTCTAGGGTTTGATTGAACTCATCACATTGCTGTACTGATGTTCTTAGTTATATAGAGTTACTAGGAACACACCAGACGACGAACATGCAGTTATTGATCTTTATTCGCTCTTCCAGCAGCTGCACTGTCCAGTCGCTCATTTATGTTCTCGTGGTTGCTACACATGGCTGATCTTTGACAACAGTTCCAACTATCTCACACTTTGATTCTCTCTGTTGTTACCTTTCGGACCATACATCTGGATCAGGCTAACATAATGTACCTTGTACCTGTACACAGTTGAAACTTGCAGTCTGTAGATATTCATTCCTCATCTTGAAAAATTACACGTGCTCAGACAGTCCACATTCTTCTCAGCTGTTCTCTTGCATTCAACCACACACATCCAGGTCCAAACTTTAATGACTTCCTATCCTCTCTGGGTTCACACCTTACATTCAAGTCTCACGCTTTCCCGGTACCTCTATTCACCCAACACGGAATACTCAAGACATGCTTTTCACACTTTCATCTTGTTTCACTGGTCCTCTGACTTTGTCCCCACAATCTGGAACTCTCTGGGATTTCCGTAGGAATTAAACATTAAACCAACAAAGTGTGCAAAGTGAGTGATCACACTACAAGAGCGACACAGTTTTTACAAAAACTGCCCAGTTAGTTAGTTAGTCGAGTTTTCAACATCTCCACATTCAAGTTTTCCCCATACTTGCTCCGCTCCTGTCCCAGTGCAAATCAAATGAGATGTCCCTCACTGTTGCATATGAAAAACTGGTGAATAAACGACTAGTTCTGGAGCAATCCAGAAATATATGCATGCAATAAATGCGTATTTCAGTTGCTTGAGACGGCAAAGCCAATAACAATCGCCACCAGAAATGCAGTTTGTCGTTGATGGAAGTAGTCGGGCATGATAAGTTGGTTACTATACACACGTAGAATTCTTACATAAGGTATTTCACCAGCTCACATGCAAGTCGGCCACCGGCCATGTTGAACAAAATGACACAACAGCTGCGTAAATGAAAGGCATTTCATAGAAAAAACACAGCTCACAGGGCTGCACCAAGCATTAAACTCAGCAGCAAAACCGTAGACTACCGTCCTTATGTGGAAACTGCATTAGCAAAGCGCAAAAATAACTTTGAAGCTTAACATTCTGCCAAGCCTTGTGTCCATTTTGGCCGGAACTGTATTTGTACTATAGCGAGGAAGAACTTGATCCCTGCTGCTTTATGGTATTGCCATGCACAGGCAGTGCGGCGTCCGTGGCTTACCCGTTGCGAGTCCGACTCGTAATTCCAACATACCACGATCTAAACCAACTGCCAGCTGGGTGGATTTTTAACGTGGTGTTGAGCGTCACAGGTCGAACCAGCCTAAAGTGGGTCCTGGGATGACTGCTGGGGAAGTAAAGACGGCCGGCATAATGCTGACGACATTACCCACCTAGTGCCGATTGGTCTGTAAAAATATGGGTGCTCTTCCCTATGCCCGATGAACCTAGAGGCTTGAAAAGGGATCTTTACTTTATGGACAGGCAGCGATTCCCCTGCCTTGCTACAGCACAGTTGAAAATTATTATCTGGGAAAATGGAAAAGGTGTCTGTATTATTGCATACAATTTGACACAAAGAGAAAAAACATAGTATACTCGCATATAAGGTTTAGTCAAATTGGTTGCTGTACTTTTATGTATGTATATATATATATGTATATATGTGTGGGGGAAAGGGTCGGTAGGTATCTGTCTGTCTGTGTGTGAGTGTGGGGGAAAGGGTGGGTAGGTATCGTGTCTGTCTGTGTGTGAGTGTGGGGGAAAGGGTGGGTAGGTATCTGTCTGTCTGTGTGTGAGTGTGGGGGAAAGGGTGGGTAGGTATCTGTCTGTCTGTGAGAGAGAGAGAGGGGCAGTGGGCCTCTGAATACAGACGGGGCATGCAGGCCCTGTTTGAATTCTGATATTGGGAAGGGGGTGGAAATAGACCCACTATTCCTTAACTCTTTCAATCTCCAGACAACACAACATGTTGTACAGAAATAAGGGCTGTCATCTACCCGGAAAAGGCGTCTGTTTTGTTGTGATACCACAACATCCAGCTTAAGAATGGAGGTGGAGGCGGTCACAGCAGCTTTCCGCTGGCTAGAGAACACGACATACACACACATTGTGATTGTAACTGATTCAGAAAGCATGCTGAGGAAGATCAGAACAGGTATGCTTCGTGCAGAGTGGCATGCTTCGCTGCGGAGGACACAAGTGAGGAGTATTGTCTGGATTTTTTCACCGGGTCACGCTGGTGTGTTGGGAATGAACAGGCGGACAGACTGGCTGGCTGTGCACAAGTTGGTGGAATACTGATGCATGATAAGGCAGACGTGGTTAGTGCCTTGTGGGAGAGCGTGTACAATTCGGAGGAGCAGATGGATCACCACAGTCTGGTGAGATTGATGCAGTTGGGGTTGACGAGAGGTTCTGGCAGAAGCTCGAGGCTCAGAGAAAAGGCAAGATGGACGTTTAATCAGAAAGCTACTGGCGCCATTAGTATCAGAACTCTTTGCTGGCTGCTGAAGATGGGGACGGAGCGCTGTGATGTCGGTTCTTGAATCAAATCAAAACAACACATGTGTCACAGACTATTCCCCACATGTCTCAAACATCACTTCAGTGTCTTCTTTTATTGAAGTTTTGGTCAGCACACACTAAAAAAATCTGGCAGCCACAGGGGTATCTTTTGTTCATTTGTCTTTTCTACAACACAACAAGTGGTTAGAGTTTTTGTGGCAATATGTAACGAAAAAATAGTAATGATGTTTGTACAAAAACCTTATGCGACCAAAAAAGTTAACAAGAGTGCTGTAAATGATGACTACTTGAGGGTTTCTTGAAGTCGGACATGTTGGGCTAGGGAAGCAGATATCACAGCCTAGCTATAAACCACAGTCTGCCAACCACCCTTTTAAGAGCAAAGAAGTATGTTGGTTCCTATACATTTTCTGTGCACATTTTCTGTGTGCATTCATGTGTTTAGATCTGTATTCCTACATTTGTATATGAACATGTACATGTACATTGCATGTTTGTGTATGTACATTCATTCATTTGTATGTGAATTCATGTTTGTACTTTTGTATATGTACGTTAATGAGTGAGTGAGTGAATTTATATGAGTGGTCTTGCTCTATCATTGCTCTTATGAGATTATTGCTACCATTATAACCCATCTGCCTGCCATGGGCTCGCTTGCATTCCATGTGACTCCGACATTTCACTGCAGCTTTGTTTCGTTATTGTACAGCATAAAAAAAAAAATCTATTTTAATTTTTTGTATGCTTTTTTTTTGAATGTTGTTGACTGGCAGTGGTTGTTTACCCATTCCATTTGAAGAGTCTTTTAGTCTCCTGAGATTCATTTTATCTTATCTGTTTGGCTGTCTCTCACCTAGAGGCATTAATAGCTAACACTGTTCTATTTTTAAAAAAAAATTTAAGTAATGTAAAGTGCCACCATGTGGATGAGGATCGCCCATGGAAAGGTCCTGGAAACCCCGTTCAGCCGTTAGGCCTACATTTAAGGAAGGCCCGGCTATGTTTAGGGGCCCCCTGGCAAAAGCCAGGGTGGGGCTTCAAAATAACTTAAAATTGCATCCAACATGGGGACAGTGCATTAAAACCATCTGATCGTTAGTTATATCCCTTGCCATAACCTTTCACCTGCCTACCTGTACCACCGTTTCTGTGTCATTGAATGTCTATTATCTATAAGTACTCGAATCTCCTCCCACGGATCACACAAGGAGAATGTTAGCACAACAAACACCGTAGCATCTGTTAGGATCCCTGTTGTCTTTACGGTTCAGTCAGTCTCAGGATAAGATTTTGTGAATGGCTTCACTGTAAAGCTCAAGGAATTCTTTGTATTATTGTGTGTAATTGTTTCTGATTGTATCTGTGTCCTATGCAGATAAAGGCTTTTGAGCATCAGCAACTGGGTCGTATCCACACAGTAAGAGTCCTTTTTAGGGCTACTTGGTGGCCAGCAATGTTATGCCATTTTGTGTGTCGCAAATAACCAAAGTCACAATTATAACCAAAAGCTGCCCCTACCGGAATGCTGGTTCAATGTGAGGATCCCACCCACCTTCCCCACCCCCACAAAACAAGGCAAGGCAAAGGCTTTTCAGCTGCTGCATCAAATTTAGTCTTTT